AGGAGGGATAAATCCCATTAGCTTAACATACTGCCAAACAATACTTAACTAATAGTTGGTAGAACTTTTGGCCAGCGCAATTAACTTATGAAAGAATAAGAACGACCTTTTCCTTTGGGAATATCATAATTATTTGCACTTTAAGCGTAACCCATTAATTGGTCCTAAGTTTACTACCAAAATTATACGTCCACCTTTGGGTGACCCGTACGCTTTTGAAATAACTCACTGTAGACATCCCAAAGGAGATTCGTCCTTGTAAACTGTGAAATAAAACGTCCTTTGGGCTCGATTTAAATCACTTCATTGACAAACCTATAATGGAGACCTTGGATGTTATTTATTTCAACCCATTACACACTTAATATAATTTTTAGTTTAAAGGGATTTTCCTAAACATGCTCCTAATAATTCAATTTGCACATAGAGCAATTAAATCACATAAGGACATGCATGATTAATAGGCAATAATAAACGAGGAATTAAGATCCAACTATCATGGCCATTTAATCATTCTCCAATCTTTCGGGAAACGCAGTCTTGTCCTTGTTGAACTGGGTCTTCCAATTCAGGACATGGGATTTCCTTTTTCGCCATCGGGTCTCATCTGTCGGCATGTGCCTACTGCCGTCGTCGCCCGTACTTCTGTCGACATGGGTGATGAAGATCGCGTGTCCCGACTGCCGATAAGCCACAAACCAGTGCCTTGAATCGCCGATAGTTGCCTAGAGGTTTACAAACCGCACCCCTCTAAACGAATATAATTGCAATAGAAGTTTGGTGAAAAACTAAAGCAAAGAAAATGAAAAAAATTTCTGATTTATATTGATAAATTTGATGATGAAAAATAACATAGGGAAGGGGCCTTTATATAGGCACAAAATTTGTCTAGTCCTAATCTACCTAGGGAACTAATAAAGCAATAAGATATTAAGTATCCTAATTAAGCTAGAAATCATAAAGCAATAAGGGAAATATATATATCTTGGCTTGCACTCCAAGTAATCTCTCTCTCTTCTCTCTCACGCGCGACCGCCTCACACCTGCCGCCCAACGTGCGCCGCCTTCGCCCTCGCCCTAGTCCTCGAGGACTAAGGCACCGCCTTTGTCCGCGCGTGCATCGCCAAGCAGCGT